TATGAGCATGCAATTTAGGCTTTTGTACGGTACAGCCAAAGCTTTTTAGAAATAAGTCTTAATGTAAACAAATGTGTAAAATGATTACCGTATATCAGATTTTTTTCCGCGTCACGTTCTTTTCCGCGAATCAGAACCGAAATCAGTGTATTAAATTTAAGCGAATCAAATTTTCACTATTTCAAAGTCCCAGTGATTATATTATTAACAATTGTTTAAGCCTATGAAGAAATGGGATGTAAAATGTGAAGTCATTAAGCTTGAGTTACTTCATATGGGTGAAAAATAGATCGACCGACCTTCACCTATAGTCAATTTCAGAACACCCACTTAGCTGATTACACACCTGTGTTGCGTACGAACTTTCAAATCCACAGAAATTATTTTTAAGATTTAAACAATCATAGGTCTTTTACTGTTCCAAACTGACTAGCAGCTCAGGTATAATTAGTTTAATAGCTTATCGCAAGGAAAGTGTCCCATATATAATTTAATTGTGGCGATTTTGTTGTAAACGTGTGTATTTATGAAAAATTTAAAACCTATAACACAGAAAATTCAAAGTAGAAATGTTCATAAATAGAACTCCCCTCACTAGTAGCGTCAGTGTTCAGTGTTCTGTATAGTGTGATAACAAATTAAATACACCCGTGAAACATAAACTGGTTTTGAAAACAGGGCAAGAGAGAGAGCTCTGTTATTGTAAATGTTTACGATTCTCCTTGTGTGTTCAATTGTTAAAGTCTGAACACATCACTAAGAACTGACTGACATTTATACAATTAGCGTGTTTTCATTTCGAACATTTTACTCGGAATTTTTAGACTATATGTAAGTTGTAATATTTTTCATTAATATTATACAAGATTGCCACTTTTCTTTAGGTAGAATTATTCTTTGGTTTCTGACTAGATGAAATATTCAAAGTATTTTTGCTTAAATTTCACTTCAATGATGTTGTTTGTTTTTGCCTCCTTTAGCCAAAAAACAAGCTCAGTTGTCTGACAGGAGAAGTAATGAACATTAATGACTAATATATTTAGGTGTAAGGGATTTAAAAGACCATATTCTTTTTTCCTCATCACAATTGTACAACTTTTTTATTAGAAATGGTAAACTGCGTTTGAAAACTAGCAGGTATTTTTGGCGGAATGTTGGCCTATCAAAATATCTTCTTTTCTGCCTCTCAAAATTTTAATAGAATAATGAATTTAATTATAATTTTTACACAATCAAAGATTTGAAAAAAATTTTAAATGTAAGAAAAATTAATTACAAGAGACTAAACTTTCAAAAGATATCAAATAAGTATTATTTTCCAAACAAAGTAGAACTGTGTTGGCTTTTAAACGCTTCCAATCAAAGTACCGAATCGAGCCAAAAATCCACAAAAAGTATTTTTTCTCTCTTAGTAAACGATGAAAACTTTTTGTTTTTGTATCATTTTGTACATTTATGACTTCTTTATTTTTTGTTTGAAAATAAGAAAAAGTTAAATATAGAAAGCATATGAAAATGAAAATGAAACTAATTTATCCTAAAAAATTAAGAAAAACAGAGAAAATTCGGATTAGCCAATATCTAGTTTAGTTAAAAGTTTATGTAAAGGATGACTGCACTTAAGGAAACTTAGAAATTGCGACATAATTAATTTTTAAAATGGGCATTTCTCTTTCAATGGCAGAAATGGTCAATGTCTTAACTGCAACTTTGTGTAATTACGTTAATTAAAACTTCGTATTAACGAAGTTCGAAGTCGTTTTTATTGGGAGGGGTCATCGCATATTCTGGAATCTCCATAGGATAATGAGTACGCCCATCTTTTTACAGGCTTAATACATAGTCAGCGCATGTTTGTCTATTGACCTCTTTTTTATGGTAGTTGTATATTTATTTATATTACCTCATATTAAAAGGAGATGAATAGACAAACATGCGCTGATGGTTAAAAAGAGAAAAAACTGTTTCTACTGTGTTCACTTTCTCTATAGTATACTGGCCATTTTGACCACGTTGTTACCTGTTGAACATTATAATAAACCACGTGATTTCTATACTCAGGTAACTCTGTGAATACTAAAATTCCATCACGTGACATGTAAGGAAACACGCATTCTGCTTGCCGATAGTGATTGTTCGTATCTGTTTCAATTCATTCCCATCGAGCCACGGGATATTCTTTTTTCTCTTAGATATCTATAATATTTTTGTTATATTTATCTCATAAGCGTTTCATTTTACTATCCTTATATATTTTTGAATGCATCTCACCACGTTCGTAGTCTACAAGAAAAAAAGAGATTTATTTATTATGTTTTGAATCATTGCTTAACATGAACATCCAAAGTAAGATCCAGTAAATGAAATTGAAATCATACCATCCTCAGCACGCTAATTTATTGAAAATGTACGTGTAATCATAAAAGAAACTAAAAAAAACTTGAGCAATTGTGATGTTTTTCTTTCTGTTTTATAAAAGGGAAAAAAGTCAGTATTACTGTTGTTAACGGGTCTCGATCCCGGACCTATATATTATTGATTCTGTGCATTACCGACTGAGCTAGTCGGCACTTATGTTTGAACACGCGAATTGTTGATATCAGCCATTGCTGTTGATTATCAATGAGAATGGCTTCTTCTACCGGTCGATGTTATTTGTTATTAGTTATATATACTTTATTTAAAAACTTAAAAAATAATAGTGACAAACATATGACGAGAAAGAGAGAGAGAGAGAGAGAATGCACCAAATAGCTATTCTAATTTTAGACCACTAGCTCATCATAATATTAGCTCCACCTCTTATGCATATTTATAAATCTTATCTTCAATCAAGAGCAGATAAGTCTAATTTCCTAATATTTGCAGAGAAGTGGGGTAAGGACACAACGAATTATTTCATTGCAACGCAGTTTATAACATTTGTGACATTGTATTTCATTTGGAAATATACCAAACTCTATAATAAATGACTTGAGACAAGAATAAAAACAAAAATAAATCTTACAAGAGAGATCGAAAAAGACCCCAAAACCGGCGTTAAGTGCAGTCATCCTTTGGTAAGATCGTGCTATAGACCCAACAAAGTAATATCTTTTTATGCAAAAAAGAACAATCTTTAAACTTTTGAAATAGAAGTAGGCATCACATGATTGGCAACAGTATTTTTTATTTATATTTGTCAAGGATAAAGACGATGACCTTGACCTGACTTTGTCTCTAATATAAAATTTAATCTTACTGATACTATCACTTTCTGATATTGTCTTCTTGATTTGGTGAAAATTTCATTAATTTTTAAATACAAGAATTATGAGAAGAATCCTACCTTCAGCATTAAGAATAAAATTATAATTTGAGATATTGCAAGGATGTGTAAGTCATTAATCCGATAAGAAAAAAATCAATAGTTTCGAAAGTTTCAATAACTTTGAGATGAAATAATTATGCTTTCTTGAGAAATGTTATTGCAATTGATAACGGGTAATATCATTTAAGAAAATATTAAATTCAAATCCGTGTCTATGCACCTTTGAAGTTGTTATAATTTCTAAATATTTGAGCTTGCATTTTGAGCCTGATTGTTTTCAATTTTATGATTTTAATTTAAGACAGTTTTAGCACGACCATGATTTGAATCCAACCTAGGGATCATGGTTTAAACAAACTATGAAAGTATACACTAGCCTATCTCCGGATGGTTGCTTCTTCATTTGATCATTTCCTTGCTATTCTTGGTAATGAATTATTTTTTATATTGATGTTTTTGTGAATATTATTCTCATGTTTGACACTAAAAATGCAAAATTCACAATGAATATTGAAACAAATTTTATAATTATCATTTGCATATACGTGAATGCCTAACATTATATAACATAATGTGTATTTTAGTACAATATGTTTATTATTCATTGTAATATATACATTATATATCAATTATATCGCAGCATAAGACCTACAAAGTGAGTTTTTGTGAGCTAAGCCTTTCATTCTTTTTTCACAGTTTGAGAACTGCAACAAATCACTCATTTTAGCATATTTGGTAAACAACACATTTCTTTTTAAAGTCTAACACCATTATCTTTTCTCCTGTCGGATGCATCATAACATTGTAACTTTCGCTTATGTCTCCCAAAGTAATGTTCCTACTCTCCCGTCCTCCATGCTTAAACTGTCTTAATGTCGATGTCATATCGCAAACTAGAATATTATCTTGAAGGTCAAAAGTGAGTCCTCTGAGACTTGTATCTCGAAGGCCCTCAAGAATAACTTTGTTATTCTTATCCACAACCTTTACCCTCTCGTCTTTTATTAAACAATGACAATCTGACATCAACGACGAAGATACAAAGGGCACTGATCCACTAGGATAGTATGTTGAAGTATGATTTATGCAAAAATTCAATGAACAGATCATCATCTTAGAACGATTGGCAGCAAACGCTGTTGTTGGTCCACAGGATATAGCTTTCATAGGTTCTTTCAACTGAATTATTCCAAGTTTTAAAAAACTCGCAGTTTCTCCGTTGAACTCAATTCGATAATGAGTAATGAAGTTTTCGAAAGAAACAAATACTTCATTCAGGCACAATCCGGAGTGACAAAGGCCAAATGGTTTGTCCTTACAAACCTCAGTGTGTAGACATTTTCCAGTGGAATTACTGATATCGTACATCTTCAGTGACGGTGGGCTAGTCAGAGATAGTAGAATTCTTGTGTCATGAATAAACAGGCCATAAAATACTCTTTCTGACAAATCGTTTATCTGTGATAATTTTCTAAAGTCAACGTTCATCCAGTCTTTTTGAGCCATAATTTTCCTTCTATGTATAATATTGTCTTCATCGATTTTTTCTGGAGTACTACACAAAATTCTCTCCACTATCCATGATTGTTGTTTAGTCAGTTTTACGTCTTCAAACTCTTTTGTCTTGGAAATCTGACCAAAAAAATCCAAGTTGTGCTGCTTGTAATCTTCAGAAAAGTTCCAAATATCCAAAGACCTTTAACGAGTGATGTGAGCAGAAATCTGCTTTTTCAGTTTATGATTTGTTATGACTAATTGTTTTGAAGACCCACATTTTAACACTGAGTGAAGAATCATCCTTACTTCATGAACTGTAGTAGAAAAACGTTTCAACTCATCAGATGCAATTTCAATATTTCCGATTGAATCAGCATGATTCTGTTCAAATCGTTTAAGCCACTTTGCATATGCATTATCCAATAAAGATTTGATTTCTTCAACTTTTTTGTCTGTGTTCATACAAATTTCATGCTTCCTGATGATGAGTTTTTCTGTTTTATTTAGGTTTTCTAACAGCATATCTTCGAGAACTTTCTCCAGATCAGCATATTTTAAAGCAATGTTTTTCATAGCATTTCTGTCTGTCTCAAAAGCAATATCTTCAACTGTGTCCACATGCTTGCACAATTTATGCTGCTTGACATGACAAACACTACAGCATAGCTCTTGATGATCGTGGCAAAACACATCGAGTATTTTCCCCTTATGCAAATTGCATGACTCTTCTATCTCAACTTCATTGTTCATCTCCTTGATGTTGGAAAGATTTACTATTTTATGATTCTGTAAAATTGGTGCTGCTCTATGCAATAATTTGCAATCTTCGCAAATAGCTTCCATGCATGCTTTGCACCAGTATTTTGCAGTAACAGTTTTCTCCAATCGTTTACAAAACATGCAATACTTATTTTCATCTTGCTCGGGATCTACAGACACACTAAGTACGAGTTTATTCTGGGGTAGTTCTGATGCCCACTCTTCGTTTGAAATGTCATTCCTTGGCGCCTTGATACATGTACGACACACGGGGCATTCAATTGACTTTAATAATGTTTCATTTTCTTTATGTGTAGCCGTACTTGAAATGTAAGTCTCAATACACGCCTCACAAAAGGTGTGGTAACACGACAAATACTTCGGTTTTCTCACCTTTTCTAGACATATTGGACAGTGGCATGTATCATTCTCCCGTTCATTGACAGGGGTTTCTTTCTTTAAGCTCGCCATTTAAAAGAAATTCTCAAGTTCAACTCAAGCTTCCAACTTCACTTTCGGTTTAAATTCTGCTTACTACTCATAATATGGAACGCCGTTTGTATTATGCATTTTCTGCATGAAGAAAAAAATAAGTTTAAGTGGCACAGTGACGCACAAAGGGGAAAATTGACAAATGTAGAATTTCCCCATGACCTCTGTAAATTTTGTTTAATTCCTGAAAGTATTAGGTTTCAGAAAATTACAGGTTTCAGAACCTAAAAATTAAATTTTCAAGGGGAAAAATAAAAGTAAGAATAATTTCTGTCTGCCCCAGAACGAAAATATTGCAAAATACCCTGGTACTTCTTCCTCCTTGTTATACGCGTGCGCAGAAAAGTGTTGAATAAGTTTCCATAGTTACCATGGTCTCAGGTAGCCACGAATGTATATAAGTAGACCAAAAAATATGATGAAATCTTTTTAAAAAGTTTTAGAGCATAATTCTCACCTATGCATGCTCCAGTTGAATTTTGTTTACAAGTTTGAGCTAAAAATAAGAGTAGTGTGACCTTGACATATACGAAACAACGAAACGGTAGATTCAACCTTTGTTTTTCCGGCACTTATATTGTGCAGTCAATTCTTGCAGTATAATTGTCATATCTTCGCTATATACTCATAATTTTCGTAAAGCTTTCTTTGTATGATACAAATATCTTAAAATAAAGGTATGATTTTGACTCACTGTGCCGCTTTAAAGCGTATTAGAAAACGGAGGAAAAAATTAAAATAATCAAACTCATCAAAAGGAGTGGAAATATAATAATGGATAATTATTAAAAAAAAAATGAAGAGAACGATATCATAGGCATTTATGCTCAATCCATTTATATATATATATATATATATATATATATATATATATATATATATATATATATATATATATATATATATATATATATATATATATATATATATATATATATATATATATATATATATAAAGCACTAAAATGACCAACGACACGAACAATAAAAATTGTCAAATTTTCGGGACGCCCTGTCCCTTCCTCAGGACAAAGAAAAAAGTTAAAAAGTCATAAAAACAAAGGAAAAAGAGAAACAAAAACAACTAGCACTACTACTAAACTACTAAACACTAGATATTTACATAATTACATGTTGAATTGGAAATATTAAGAACACAAATAATGAAAGAAATCCGGACCGCTGTGAAATGCGTCCGGTCTATCGGGTATACTCGGGTGAAGTGCGATTTACATAATTGAACGAATTAATTATGCTAATTAATTACGATAATCAGCAAATCGTACATTGTTTCATTATCTCAAAATGGCTTAACTTTACTTAATAAAGAATAATCAAAGAAAAATAATATAGCAGAGATATTTAAACATATGAATTATGATCCATTATAAATTTTGAAATATTTAAAGATTTATTACCGGGAAAAAATTTTAACAATTCCTGATGATACTAGACAAGATTATTCTCTCAATTTAGTGTTAACTCTACTGTTAATTTGCGTCACCAACTTTCGGACAACCCACAAAACTATTTATTGTTTACGCTTTTGTTAAAAAAATTTTTTTCCCGGTAATAAATGCTTAAATTTATAATGGATCATAATTCATATGTTTAAATATCCCTGCTATATTATTTTTCTTTGATTATTCTTTATTAAGTAAAGTTATGCCATTTTGAGAGAATGAAACACTGTACGATTTACTGATTATCTTAATTGATTAGCATAATTAATTCGTTCAATTATCAAAAAACTATTTATTGTTTACGCTTTTGTTAAAATTTTTTCCCGGTAATAAATCTTTAAATATTTCAAAATTTATAATGGATCATAATTCATATGTTTAAATATCTCTGCTATATTATTTTTCTTTGATTATTCTTTATTAAGTAAAGTTAAGCCATTTTGAGATAATGAAACAATGTACGATTTGCTGATTATCGTAATTAATTAGCATAATTAATTCGTTCAATTATGTAAATCGCACTTCACCCGAGTATACCCGATAGACCGGACGCATTTCACAGCGGTCCGGATTTCTTTCATTATTTGTGTTCTTAATATTTCCAATTCAACATGTAATTATGTAAATATCTAGTGTTTAGTAGTTTAGTAGTAGTGCTAGTTGTTTTTGTTTCTCTTTTTCCTTTGTTTTTATGACTTTTTAACTTTTTTCTTTGTCCTGAGGAAGGGACAGGGCGTCCCGAAAATTTGACAATTTTTATTGTTCGTGTGGTTGGTCATTTTAGTGCTTTATATAAATTTCCATCCGTGACCTTGTATCTACTTGGTAGATCCGACATTTAGGATATACAGTGTTGTTGGTTTTTTTAGTGCTTTTTATATATATATATATATATATATATATATATATATATATATATATATATATATATATATATATATATATATATATATATATATATATATATATATATATATATATATGAATAAAATAAGGATTAGATAACATTCATGGTTATGCCTCCTGAATACACTTTAAAGTAACAAAATTTATTCATATGCATATATAATTACTCTGTGTGCAAATTAAAACAACATGTAGCAATAATTAAGTTCGTTATGTACGCTGATTTGTTCAATTGTTTAACTCTCAATGAACTAAGTTGACCAATGTGGAGTATTTGAGTAAAAATGATTCAATAAACTATATCTTAATTTTCTTTCCAACCTAAAATACCTTATAAAGTTAAAAACATTTTTTTTTTCAAATCCATAATTTAAAACTTTATTGGGTTCTTCCCTGGAGTTGAAGAGTTCCACTAAAAGAAGGCCAATTTATGTTTTGTAATTTTTGTATATTTTTATTTGAATAATGGAAAATTTGATGATTTTTCAAAACCCCTAATAATGCATGCTGATTTTTTGTCAAAGAATATGTAATGGTATTAAGTTTAGATTTAGAATATCTTGAAAAATGATCAGTAGTAAGGTACTTTGTGTATGTCCTTAATTTAGCTTTTTTTCTTTTTTCAGTCAAGTTGTAGGTATATAATTTTTAACATATTAAATAATGAAATTATTATTATTTACTTTCCTTACTTTTTTTTTATTAATCACTTAGTCTAGTGTTTATTTACGTTTCCATATTTTCGTAATTTGTCTATTTCAATAGAAAACACATTATACAATGCATGAATTTGATAATTTATTCCCGAATATAAAAATTTAATTCTTATACATAAACAGTTAGAACGTACGCTAACAGATGTTTCAAAGCAATTCGATAAATTAATAAAAATGAAAATATTTTTAAAAAGATTTATAAAAAAAAACATTCATGAGCCGCCTTGCTTCACAATGTGCGATAATTTACTAATCTATTTCTTCTTCAGATTCAAATTTTTGAATGCATTTTTTGCAGTTTGATTTTTCCGAATACATATAACTACCAAACTTAAACAATCAATACTTTAAAACTTTAGAAAAATTTATAATGTTTAAGTCATCGGCATTTTTTTACTCTTTATTTGCAACAAGAATAATTATATTTTAAACCTTTTCTTTGCCACAAGAAATGTCAGAGACGACAGGAGGAATTCAGAGTAGAAAGGGATAATGACAGGGGACGAAAAGGTAGGGAGGTCAGACATTTGTAGGGAGCTCAGCGCAAGGGATCATAAGAGAACGTCACAAGAGAACGTCAGGGAGTGATATCTAAAATGCTAGGAACTGACATGGGAAACGAAAGGTGATTTTTTTAAGCGCCAGTATGGATACAGAACAGGTGGTGGAATAATATTTATGTCCACATATTTATGGATACTTTTTCTGATCCCTAATGCACGATACATAGTGACGACCCCTGGTCAAACTGAGTTTCGTGAAAAAATAGAACATACAGTGTTGTTGATGAAACAAATTTTAACTGTGTCTATGAAATTTTTCTACAAATGATTTTTTCTACAAATGAATGTGAAATTATGTTATTAAAAAATTGGTCAATCATTTTTCTTAAATAAATTTTTCTCAACATTTTTTGCTTTATAAATCCAGTATTAAACGACTGGATACGATTCTGCAAAACGCCAAAAGTATTTTTTTTATTGTTTGACATGTTTGTTTAATTTTACTTTATTATAATTATTTTTTATTATTATTATTTTTTTTGGTTTTCTTTTAATTTGTTTTTTTTCCCTTTGAAAAAATAGTCTAATCAAATACTCACAAAATACTACATATACGTGGAAGTTGATTAAAAATTGACTATTTAATAATTGATTAAATAATTATCATAAAATCAAATTTATCTTTTATGAAAGTTACAGAAAAAAACAAAAAAAAAATTTATACAACACTTTAATTTTTAGAATATGTATCAAAACCCAGACAACTTGTAACCTGAAAGGAACGTAAAACTTTCATGTATTATTTTAGAAGTTGAAACGGCGGTTTGAAGCCAGAATTGATTTCCTTTTTTCAATTTTATGACAAGGTGCCCGGATGTGTTTTGCCAGGAGCTTGCTTGACCATTGTTGGATATATATGCTCGAACTGTGCCATCCACAATTCCGTAAACATACAGGGTAGATCCTCGGTCTGTACAATAGGTCCATGAGAAGGAGTAGACGCCATCTTCCGGTGCTGTAAATTTGCCTGTTGTTGGATTGTATCCTTCTCCCTCATTGGCCAATACGTTCGCAAATTTGAGGATTGTATTAACAGGTATGTTGTTCAGTCTTTTAGATAGAATTGCATGAAATGCCACAATCTTTCCAAGAGAACCTGAAGTAAATAAAATACACATAGGTTTAGTACATGTATATGAATCGATGTGCAAAATTGTAAAACACCTTTTTGTCTTTGCTGTATAATTTTTTGGATGGTGATTTACAGATTTATATATAGTTATCTGATGGTCGATTCATAAGTGTTATGTAAAAAGTTAGTATCCAACAGGGTTTTGATCTTTGTTGTCCAACTTAAGACCCAAAAAGCAAATGCATTGACCTTAAAAATAATACCTACGGTCGAGACACTGTATACCCAAAAAATATTGAAACAGAAAAGAATTTCAAATATTCTAATGTTTAATGGCAAAAAACGGGAAAAAACAGACAGCTATAACACATTCGATATCTTACATTCTACATGAGAAAAATCTTCATTTTATGAATAATTTGAATTTGAAATTTCAGTTTTTACTTCCATGACAGTCAGAAGGCAAAATGAATTCTGCATAAACAAAGTTTTGTTTTGAATTAGTTACCTCGATTATTTTCCTTATGACAATCACACTTTGGTATCCAGTCCATTTCCCGACAGACATTTTTATAGGTTACATAGTCATGGCGGAAGGTCTTTGGTTTTGGAGAATCAGCTCTAGTAATGACCATCATACAACACATTAAAACAAGGATCAGCGCCATGTTTGAATTCATTTCTTCAAAGTTAGTCCTAAAACTAATATGTTTAAGGAAAAATTTATGGAATTCTTCTCAAAAGACTTAGTGGTTTTATGCTAACATGTATTAAGCTGAAGAAATACATGAAACCTTTAATTCAAGATTTGCGTTGTTATATGGGTCATATTTTATACGAATCTAATGTTTAAAGGTGTCTTCCATGCTATTAAAATGAAAAATGAGATGACTTCCTGGTTTTGTTTTTCTCAAAATGAATTTGTGAGTCATATATTGATTTAGTGTGACAGAAATGAAATTAGAGTTGCAATGTCTTTAAACATGCCAAATTATTTTAGTAATAATAATTTTTAAAAATACGTCAAATACTGATAGCTTCTTGTTCATTGTCCTCCGCTGTCGCGAATCTATTCGTCTATAGCCGCCCATCAGTCCATGAGTTTGTCTCGGCGTCTGTCACAAAAACTTAACCCTGGTGAGATAGGATTTCCATTTTTAACATGCGAGCTATTTATGACTAGACCTTTCTATACGCACTATGATGATCAATATAGACTCTGTTTCAGAAGAGGACGATCTGTAATTAAAGAAATTGGTCTGTATATTTAAAATACTTAGAAATGAAAAACATACTATAACAACTGTTTGTTGTTTATAGTGAAATAAATTTCGTAAGTGGATATTTGACCGAACTACTAGTATGTTAAGTGTATTGCATGGGAGAATATTTTTAGAACCTTATGACGCAGTGTTTTGATTCTATAGTGCTGCACCGTGATGTGCTTGCCAAAACTTTGATTAAAAAAAATTAAGTAGACTGATTTCTACTAAACCGAATGCAATAAAACTTGAAAAATAATCAATTCATGTACTTTAACATATAATAATGTGCTAATGTTTAATTTTTTGAATTTAATTTTATGACCAAGATTGAAAATGACCTCGAACTTTCCAAACAACCCTCGTACAATTTTTTAAGTTACATAAATGTATTTGAGCAATAAATCTAATACTAAAATAATATTGTATATTCCTGAGTCTCTTGAATACTTAAAGGGGGATGGACACGGATTCAACTTAATTTTTAAAACCAATTTTAATGTTTTCAATATATAGCCAGGGCATCATCTATTATTATCAAAGACTTGAACATCACTTGTTGATTAACAAACAAGATACAGATCTTTAAGTTCTTCATAATATAAAAAAGGCTCGTGCCTTGTTTTTGTTTACATATAGAAAATATCCTATTTATAACAAAATGAAATTCAGGAAATCAATAGTAACTGTCAAATCGTATTAAGAATTAACTTTTATCATGTTTATTTGAAAATCATCTACTTTGAACGAACATTTATTAGTATACAACATGTATTAACCTGTATAAACAAAAACAGGACACAGACCTTGCTTACATAACAAAGGTTTGGAGCTCTTAGTATGTCTTATATCTGGACAACTGACGTTCAGGTTTTAGATGATAATTAGAGAGACGCAAATTAAATCTTTGTAAAACTGGAAAAAATAAATTTTGAAATTTTTACGTGAAACCGTGTCCATGCCCCTTTGAGAAAAATTTGCCATCCATAATTTAAACTGTGTTTAAAATTACATCTGTTTGCATTGCACATATACTCCAAACACTAACAACATAAACAATAAATTTATTTTGTTTTTCCTTTTATTATTTCATACAACCATTTTCATGATAATAATTATCATTATAACATGATAACTGACCAGTACACTAAATGCACATGTTCATAACAGTAATATACATTTGGCAAAAAAAACAAATTTGGTGTATACACTAAAACTTTTTCTTAAAGAATGTCAACTATTGCACAAATTAACAACAAGCCAGTGAGTGCTGGGAAATGCTATCACAGAAGATGAACCTCGAGTTCCTCACCATCTTGTACCTCCCTCCATTGGTTTTTGAGGAGAAGCATGAACTTGTTAATGTCTCTAGGGCTCTGAACCAGGATTGTGGTCTCTATTTCTGGGGGCGACAGACGACCGCTAGAATTATTCTCCAAACTGAAATGGTCAGAAGAGGTATCCACATTGATTTCATCAGGTTCATCTGAGAATATAAGGCTGAGTTTGTGTTCGTTGTCTTTGAACATAAGTACTCTTTTCAAATGACTGATTTTCTTTGTGTTGGTCACCTTGTATCTGGGTGAGTTTGGAAGTCCTCGTGCAAAATCAGGAATGGGATAGCCTGTATTTGTCGGACTCTTTCACGGTTAGCTAGTATATAACATTTTTAGTTTTGCATGACATATTCGCAATCACGATAAATATTTTATCACATTTAAATATAAATCTACAAGTGAAACTGGTATTGACTTGGATCTTTCAATAGTGACCTTTATCTCGGAATTAGTGGAAATAAGTTTTCTTGTATAGTATAAATCTGTTATGATTTTATGATTTGTCTCTGCACGGAAGGACTAAAATCAAAATCAATTGAGCATTAATTAATACAGTTTACATTAACAATATTAATGCTCAATTATGTACTCTTCATTATACTTTTGTGAAACCTTTACAAGCATTTAGACATGACTGAGATAATTCAAGCTATACGTTTACATACTCGTCGCTGTGAACAAAGAATCAATTAAAACAACCAGGTTACATGTATCAATAACCAACGCGTCTTTCCAACCTGTTACCTAACACAGAAAAATTATTCAATAATCGTGATCGCTTCTTATTTACCTACAACAATGCATGGGAAACAACAATCCAAAATCATGTTTTACATGTTTTAGCCAAAACAGTGTCGATATGTATAATTTAAGCATTGATGAATTTCGAAAATTTTGTAATAAATGTTATTGATCTTTGAAAAACCTGTAAAATGTATTAGCTCTTCACAGTATGATATAATAATTATCCTTAAATCGAATTTGTCTAAAAAAGAAATACAACAAACGAAAAATCATGTAACACTTTATTTCTTTTAAATATGTATCAAAACCCAGACAACTTGTAACCTGAAAGAAACGTACAATCCGCATGTATTATTTTAGAAGTTGAAACGGCGGTTTGAAGCCAGAATTGATTTCCTCTTTTCAATTTTATAACTAAGTGCCCAGATGTGTTTTGCCAGGCGCTTGCTTGACCACTGTTAGAGATATATGCACGAATTGTGCCATCCACAATTCCGAATACATACAGAGTAGATCCTCCATTTGTACAGTAAGTCTATGAGAAATAGTAGACGCCATCTTCTGGTGCTGTAAATTTGCCCGTTGTTGGGCTGTATCCTTCACCTTCATTGGTCAGTACGTTCTCAAATTTGAGGATTGTATCAATAGGTATGTTGTTCAGTCCTTTGGATAGAATAGCATGAAATGCCACAATCTTTCCTTGACAACCTAAAATTATGCTTTGAATGACAGACAACATGAAACAGAAACAGCAATATATAGGAACAATAAATCTTGAATGACTAAAAAAATTATGTTATGGATAATTTGAAGAGCGAAATTTAAAGTTTACTTCACGGAAGCTTGGAAAATTAATCATGCTCCAATAAAGCATTTTTACTAGCTAATTTAGTTACCTTCCTTGGTTTCCTTGTAATAATCACACTTTGGTGCCCAATCCATTTCCTGGCAAACATTTTTATATGTCACATAATCCTGGAGGAAAGTCTTTGGATCTGGAGAATCAGCTCTGGTAAAGACCATCATACAGTAGAGTGAAACAAGGAACAGGATCAAGTTCGACTTCATTTCTGCAAATATAGTCCTGAAAAGTAATATTTGAAAAACGATTTATTGAATGTTAACTAATTTATTGTACAGTCTGAGAATGTGAAACCAAAAATAAAATCTATGAATCAAAAATATATATATATTTAATAAACATTATGGAGTTTCTTTCAAAATAATCTATGCCTCTATGCAGGGATATATTAAACGGACGAAATATGCCTTTAATTCAAGATTCACATTGTTTTACATTTGAAAGAAGATGAAGATTTATACGAACCTTATTTGAAATGATGTCGTCTATCCTATTAAAATGAAAAGTGAATTGCCTTTTTTTAATTCAATGTATAAGCTAACTGAAATTGGAAATGCAAATGTTTTGAAATATATGCCATTTATCTATAAAAAATAAAAGCACATCGCAAGAACTGTAAAAAGAAACCAGAATCTTGTTAATATCGTTTTTAGTCAGTGGCTGTACTGAGTATTCATTAAAAAATCAAGATTGATGAAGAACTGTGTTTACTTTTATTTTTTGTTTTAAATAAGAATACTGCTATATGATTTTTTAAATTTTATGATAAAAAGAATGTACATGTATGTTGTATTATGTATGAGGAGGACCTACCAAAAGCCATTTATAGCCATGTTTTTGTTTAAGTGATGTAAAGGGCATTGTAGATGGTAAGTCACCTGTAAAAGCTTTATAGATGTAAATCCTAAAAAAAAATTTCAAATGTCTTCACATGAAGAAAATCATGTTCAATACCATAATCATTTATTTTTGCTAATCATTGTTCCAGTGACATTGTAATGTTTGGCAATTATTTTTAAATCAAGTTAAGACTTTTGCTTTCACAAGACGTGTCAATTTCCTTTTCAGATGTGACTTGTCAGAAACTGATTTTTACAGATGAAATTAATAAAGATAACGAACAAGCAAAATTTAATATCAATGCAAATAATACAAATCAGTTTAAAGGGGGTACAATAAACTACCAAAAAATCCTTGACAAGCCAAAAAAGGGTAAAAAATCTTTGAGAGGTAAGAAGCATAGTATAAGCATATTATAGTAGCGAAGTCTTCTATACTTTTTAGGGACGTAGAGACCGGTCCATTTGATGAGACCGTATTAATCGAGGTTCCGTGTTGCAGCAGGTACTTGCGCGAAAAAGATTTCTCCCTGCTCAATGGCATTTAGTGCCGAGTACAGGACAAAATATACAGCTCTCCATTGGCAAGAGGTGGAATCTCTGTATGAGTGAAAATATTCTCGAGAAGGAGGTTAACCAAAATACAAGCAATCTACATTTATTTATATATCGGCAAAATAATTACCACACCAGCTTGAGTATTTTGTTGCTTTTAGACTAGACATTTACGACTAAGCTACACTTCTCCTGAACAATGCTGGCATTCATATTATATCTGCAATATAATGCTCGGCTTGAAAGACCAAATTTTTCTCAGAAAGATGCGAATGTCTTGTCATAAAGTGTTTTGTTCATGCATGCAGTGGATCTTTGTTCCATGTATCTATTAACCAAAATATACATGTACATGTAAAATTTCATGCAAAATTGCATCAAATCATTTGAAGAAGATTTTTCTTTACTCTTCTTGGTCATGTTTGTGTGTATGATATTTTATAGGCAAATGATTTAATCTTTGTGAGATTTTTGCATTTAACAAACACATTTTCAATTTTTTTTTCACGAAAGATGAAATATTGACAGAAGAAAATTATGACTTTTTACTTCATGTTTGTTACTACATAGGCATTTCCGCTCCCATTGCTCCCCAATATCTTTATCAATCAAAAACCGCCTGTTACTAGCATGACTACGTATAAGTATCAGTCACATTATCCAGCAATGGGTAGAAACCGATGCGGTTTTTTGATAAAAATGGCGTGGTTGCCGACCCTCATCTTCTGCATACGGGGGTTATATCTCTCAGTTTTTTGATACGAAAGAGCATACACTACGTATGTACAATTTCTAAAACGAGGTAAATTATTGACAAACACGTTGATGAAACAGGAATATCGTCAGTTTCATTTATTGTCATCATCTTGTACTTTCCGAGGTCGACACAATGACTTTGACAGCAAATTCATTTCATCAATGAGTCAGATACTGACTAGCGGTTCTTGTACTAATTGCTATACCATTACTTACACACTGAATTTTCGACGGATTTTATGTCATTTCCTGATCATGACAAGGAGTGCATGGGATGTTAACTAAACCATGTCACTGATCCTACCTCTGATGGTTTGGAGGTACGTGTTTGCTCTGCTCCAATTTTGTATTATTTAATGGACTGTTCAATTGAATACTGTTCTTTATCTCAATATATTTCATTGAACAGATTCAGGTTCGGTTAATATTTGCCAATGCCTCTATGATAACATATATGTTTTAATATTAACTACGAACTCTTCCCTCGTTTCTAGCCGTTTCAATCTTGTCTGTAAGTAGTAGGGATGGCTTTCGCAGACAGGACCATATGCTCCAAATTCTTTGATTATCATTTGTGACCAAGAATTGTAAAGTTTGCTAGTTTCCTTAATACTTGTTTTGCTCCTTTTACCTATTCCTAATTTTTATTTCAAATGACATCTGATATAAAAATAACCATATGTGTATACTTACAATCAGACTTCTATATGCGATTGACCAAACTTGTTTCTAAATTTTGACGAAATTTTATTTCTTTTATAGTTATATTTGGATGAATGTGTTACAAGATTAATAACCCTTTACAACTCTTCTTTAAAACCAAATTGAGATTAAATTCAGAATATAATAGAATAATCAGACAAGCTAAGTATTATGAAATTGTACTTGTCGGCAACAGATGTGTACTTGTCGGCGACAGAAGGGCGTTAAAACCTCTGCAACTATTGTAGAAGTTTGTGGAAAAAACTGACATTTCCTTGTTCAAATTATATTAGAATGTATGATTAAGGATAAACCTATCACAGGTAATTTTATAGTTTCTGATAGATAAACTGAACAAATCATATAATATATTTAGATATAAACTTTGTTGGGGTCCCAAACTCATGAATTCAAGCTCAGATTATATATTATTTTGAGATATTTTATTAATTCAAAGATCTACAAACCAAAACATAACTTCGTTATTATGAATCATTCTTCGAAGGCTTTAATCACAAAATGCACTTTATACATTACAAGTGAAAATTTTATTTTATTCCCAAAAATTTCTTAATTACCAATATCTATTCTTAAGGACGTTCGATCCTGATATTTAAAGCGTATTTCATGCAGGTCATTTAATCATAAAATAAAGAATCATTTTTAGGTTCTAACAATAAAACTGAATTCTACAATGCAAATTTAACTATATTTAATGGTAAAACCGCTATTAAATTCCAATCACGTAGAATTAAGCTAGGGACTATATTTTGTGGCGGAAGGTTTTTTAGACAAAAATTGTCAGTTTTTTCCATTTGAACTATAACAGTACTTTTAATTTTGGATGGCTATTTTTCCACGCTGCTTGCACACAAAAATGTTTTTTGCTGTGAAATATGTTATGCTAGTTCTGAAAAATCTATTAAATAATTTCTTATGAATTATATCAACAAGTGTGACAAATATAGTAAATATATTCTGAAAATCCGGGGAAAATTGAGCCAATTTTAACGTAAAATTCACACATATTTAGTAATATCTGAAAATGTACATCATATACCCCCACTTTTGATGTTCCTTTCTAAATATTCAAGATAACTTTGACATCCTTGCTTAAAATCAGAAAAAGTTTAAGACTTTAAAATCATTTTCTTGCTTATTATATTTTCACTGCCAGAAAAATAACATTTTATTAGTGCAGAAAGGTCAAATAAATTCAAAGCAATTTGAAACTTTTTCGTCGTCACAATTTCTAAGTGACTTTTTTAAACAGACTTAGATTTCGTTTTGTTTCATGCATTAATTGGATTAAAATATTGGAGGGAAAACGTTAAAAATGTAATTTTAATTAAGACACGAATTTTAGTGCAGAAAGGTCATATTAAATGTACTGTAGTGCTAAAAGAAGCATCTTGACCCCCATTTTTTGATTTGAATTTTAATTAAGCTATGTATGTAGAAATTAAAAACATACTTGGCAAAAAAAGTTTAAGACTTTAAATATCTGAATCGAACGTCGTTAAAACAGTAAAAAAGCAACTCAGATACTTGTATGGTACAGAAGACAATGTAAGACAGACCAATTGTAAGTAATTCTTTCTGAAAAGCGTTCAAATGCTACCTACATAGACCTTGGCATTTCCAAATAGAACATTTTTTTTTAAATCATCGGAGAACCTACCGTTTAAGTGGAAATTTTAGCGAGACGAAGATTTAGCGATTTATCCTCAAAAAATTATTTTTAGCGAGATGTTATTTTTGCAATCTTAAAATGCACATTATTAACTATTTCAAATAAAACGATATTATTTTTTAGCGATATCCGATTTTAGTGATCTCCGCATTCTCGCTAATAATACCAAAATTAAATCCTCGCTAAAAATTTTACTTATAGGGTATAAGAATACCGAATTCATCGTCCACTATCATACACAATGTAATCGCCAATTGACAGAAAAAAAAACATTTTTAGCGTATTGTTCCCACCTGGTTTGAATGAACATTGAGCTATGTGGTTATCCAAAGGAAGACCTTGGAAGACCAAATTGAAACACATTACTCTTTTGCATGTACTTTACCCCCGGCACTGAATAGTAACCCTCGTGTTTTGTTTATAAATTTACCTAGAGTAGATTCGACCCAAAGAACTCCATATACATCGATCAAACAAAGAGGGTTTTAAGAATGAAACGGTAACTAGATGAGATGTAGATGATTAATGAGTAGGTCGTCCTTTCAATTTTTCGATAAGATAATATTTTGACCATTATTATCTTTTTTAAAAGGTATGAATATATAGACTTCCCTTATTTGATTTAATTCAAGTCCTTCATGAGGTCGTTTTACAAATTGGG